AACAAGGTGATCACTTTTTTTTGTGTGTGTAATTGATGCTGCTTTTTCAATACTTTCTCAGAGTAGCAGGTAATAAAATTTTGCTTTAATTGTGGAAAACCTTGTCATTTGACTCCTTCCTTTTGATCTAGTTAATTTTATTTTAATTGAAATGCAGTAGCTACACCCTGAAAGAGAAATAAGAACATTTATTGTGATCAATAAATGTTTAATGTCTCCATGTTACAAATGGGTGAGATGGGAGAATCAACTTTTAGAATGTAGCTACAACACATCATTTCAAATGAAAATAACTAGACCCTCATTTTTAACTCGTCTCAATTAACATTACAAAAACAGAATTTCTGGGTATTATCACATTGCTGTTTATGGATATTTTCACTCCTATTTTACAACATTGATTATGCTTCAAAAGTATTTCACTAGTTATAGACATTCTGCAATTGCGAAAGATGCTGCATAAATGCTAGTTATTTTTCTCTTTTTAATGGATCATGTAAAGTTTTTGTGCAATGTTTTAGAGTTTTTGTTCCTATCACCTTATATGCCCTTCAGGATCTGCTTTTCACCATCAAGACCTTTCTGCTGCCTCTTGTTGTCTTTTAAGATGCTTTATTCCCAACACAGATTCAGTTTTTAAGGTTCCTCAACTGCTTTTGGTAACCTACCGGATATTCCCTCTTTTGAGTCTCAATGCTGCAAATTATTCTCACCATCTCTTTCTCCTCCATTGACTTAGTTCCAATCCTTTTGGGCTTCTTGCTGGCTGAATGCCTATTAAAATGCTTTTTCTGCCATAATTATCTTTTATTAATTTTTTTCCTGATTGCTTTTAAACAATTTCAGTTTGTTTTTTCCTACAGAGATTGATCATTCAGGTTACTTTGCCACTCCTCCCATCACACAACACACAGCTTTCATCCTTAGGGCTCCCTGCTTCCCCTAACTGCCTTTCACTATGTTTTTCCTGCCACAATTTCCTATTTTAAAACTTCCAGAAATGCTTTTGGCAGCCTGCTTTTTTTTCTTTTTATAGATCAATTCCATCAGTTGTTCCTAACACCTCTCTTCACACCCGCAACACTTTGACTACTCAACAGAAGTTCATAAACTGCAGAAACTGAAACCCTCTTTATTTTGTACCCCAACACCACTATTAAATAGAGGGATGTTCACTTTGTCTTAATTTACCACAAGGAATAGAGCAAGAGACCTAGTAGTAAAATTTAAAGTTCAACTAATAAAAATTGCTACAGATAAAGGAAAATAATTGGCCTAAAGTTCTGTAAAAATGCTCTGGTTCAAATGCCAGAAAATTTTATTTTCATTTATACTTGTTGGCACATTTATATTTCCAAATTCTTCAGTTTCATAATCAGGATACCCATTTTTTTTAAGTCAAAAGAAGTCAAGTTTCTGTCCATAGAAAGTGCATGCAATCATGTGTAAAGACAACTTTCATGTAATATGATGACATGTCAAATGTACTTAGGTGAGGGATCAAAATTTATGAATGTAATACTGTCATGAGAAGAGAAAGGCAAGGATTCTTCAAATTAGTAGGAATTAGGTTCAGATTCTGATTGTAAATTTTCAGTTTGATTACACTTGTGAAAGGATTATTCTTAAAATTAGCAGATTGCAAAAATAAGATCACAGATGGTTTTCAGTGAGATAATGCACTCAAAATCAGACTAGAAAAGTCACCTAACAATCTTAATGAAAAATCTGTTAAAGTATTTTAAAGCCACTTCGATAATAAGGGATTTCTGAATGCTATGCCAGATGTGACCAATATAGCTTAGACATCCAGCATGCCCATTAACTGCTAACAAATCAACTCAGCATTACATAAAATTTGTGGAAAATCTTATTAAATCGTATTGAATTACCGAGATGACAGATGATAAATTAGCATTTATAACATAGAAACAGAACTCAGCATAACCATTTGAATACACAAAATATGCCGATATAATTTTTCCAGTGAATTTTCTTTTATTTCTCCTTGTTCTATTATTAACTTTCCTGATGTCATCTCCTTCTTCATTAATATCTTTCTCTAATGAGTTCTAAAGTGCACACAGTGTAACTAAAATTAACAATCTCCCAAAATCCCACTTGGTTTGTGAAAGTTTCTTCTTCTCTACCCAAAAATGCTTCTTGAGATTGGAAGAAATCATCAGTCTCTTTCACTGTAAATCAACTTGAAATATCTATCAAAGAGAGAAAAAAATCTTCAAAGACAGGATTAGATCTTAGACACTAACCACAGAAGTTATTAATGACAAAGTCAAGGATTCATAAGCAATCAATTTTTATTTCAAATAGACTATGGGAGAGATTTGCTTTATTTACCACTTTTAATTCAAAAGTGAGCACAAATATAATGATGAAATTTAAAGATGAATTACTAACAGAGTCATTGTAAATTTGACTGACGAATCCAAGAGACGAGAGAAACCAATCTCAACCGTTACAAGGTTGGAAAATACAGTTGCTCCTTGCCAGCCAGCTTGATTTCTCCTCCTGATTTTTATTCTTAATGTCTTTGCTTTCCAGATTAATCACACTGGGCAACATCCCTACTTGCATCATTCAAAAACAAATCTTTTCAACATTCTTTTTCCTATGTCAAACTTATCTGCTCTTGCACAATGCTATTTCTTTCTGCTGAAATTGCTGACATAGTATCTGTGAAGCCAGGAAAGTCCCAGGCACCACAATTGAGCAGTGCATACATGATCAGGGTAGTTCTTTTTTTCAGTATTGAAATACCTGTCATCAGGACCAAAAATAGTAGTTGATCACACCTCCCAGACATGCACGTCAAATCTGAGGTCAGATAGCCTGGCAGTGCTACTGCAATCTGGAAGACAGAAAATCAGGAAAGGGAGAGGAAAATGGGTGAAGTGAAGACAAGAGCTAAGGAGATTGTTTGGAGACAGCAGCAGAAGTTCGGAGCATGGCAATAACAGAGGAAGGGAAGAAAATATGACTAAGGGCTAAGGACCAATTGGGAAAGGGATAACAAAACTTCGGTGTTCATGAGAGTAAGAATATGATGATGATAAAATGACAGATCCTTTTTTCCCCTTTGTGTCAGACCTGGATCACCTTCTTCCTCCCCTCTTCTTCTCCGCAACACTCATGACAGGTTCTCCCCATTTTTCCAGCCTTAGACCTGGATCATGCACTTGTTTATAAACAGGTATCAACTGATTGCTCGCAATTCCTGCCGCATTTACAGCAAATAACATTGCTGGACTGAATGAAATCCAGAATTTGTGACACCCCTTACTCACTTTGCAATGTGGAAAGTGACTATCACCACCCATCTTTGTTAACAAACTGTGAACCTAGCATAATGCCATTTTAATAACTGCATCAGTTTGCACATTCTCTCCATGTCCGCGTGGGTTTCCTCCGGGTGCTCCGGTTTCCTCTCACAATCCTAAAATTTGCAGTTTAGGTGGATTGGCCTTCTAAATTGCCCATAGTGTCCAGGGATGTTTTGGTTAGGTGGGTTATACATAGGAAATGCGGGGTTGGGGAATGGGTCTGGGTGGGATGCTCTTCGGAGGGGAGGTGTGGACTTGTTGGGCTGAATGGCCTGTTTCTACACTGTAGGGATTCTATGATTCCTATGAATGTGTAATCTTATGGTTTAGCTATTCTACTGTCTACCATTACAACCAAACCAGAGGTTCACCCTGGTTGAACAGGAGGCGTACAGAAGCACATACTGGGAGCAGCACTAGGCGTAAATAAATGAGGTGTCATCCTCAAGATACAACAAAATGCTGTGCATACTAAATTTTCTTTGAATCATAAACAAAAACAGAAATCGCTGGAAAAGCTCAGCAGGGCTGTCAGCATCTGTGGAGAAATATCAGAGTTAACATTTCGGGTTGAGTGACCTTTACTCATGTCCAACTCACTGCTTCCTTCCAATTTTGCGCAGCAGGGATGCTGCCTGCTTGAAAACTTTGCATGCAGAAGGAGATGAAAATTTGCCACCCAAAAGCAGAGTGGCTGTCAAAAGTCCTGGACTTTCTGAAGCACATGTTGAGGTTCCTTTCGAGATTCCAAGTAAAGGTTTATATTTGCAGAGTTATCCAGCTGCAGGTGAATAAATACTGACCTTTATTTAAACTTACCAGAAATTCTGTCTTACGTCTATTATTAAATCACGGCGCCCTAAAAGGATTTAAAAACATTACCCCTAAAATATATACATTGTATTGAGAATAAGTGAGAGTTGAGGGAACAGGAGAACTGGAGAAAAGCTATTCAAACCAAAGTTTTTTCAATCTTGCCAATGTGTGTAATGCTCAACTATGCTTTTACTGCTATGTTCTCTTTATTTGAAAGCCTACTTACATCCAGATCAGTCACATTGATCCAATTGTCTCAGCCCATCTGCTACTGAAAATCTCACTCATATCTTTGTCATTTCTAGACCCTCTGATTCCAATGTTCATCTGTCCCCCCATGATCCATCCTCTATACACCATCCAAAATTAGGCTCGATGCATTGTATCCTGAACAAGATCCTGCCTCATTATCACTCCTGTGTTAGCTGATGAAGATTGGGTCCCAATCCTATTGTATCTCCAATTTACAATTTTCATCCTCAGTTGTAAATTCTTCCAACCAATTCTTCACCTCTCCCCATCCCAGTGATGTTCATCAGTCCAACAGTCTCTTTTCCATGAATTCTATTCCTATGACTTGGCCTTTTGTACATCCACTCTTCCCTTTGCCTCATGATTGGTAGCTGATCAGCTGCCAAGGCACCACAGCCAGGAATTCCTTCTCCAAACATTCGGGCTTTTCATCTCCCATCTTTGTTAAGGCCCTCCTTAAGACCTACTTCTTTAACAAATCCTTTGATTACTATGTGAAAAATTACGTGAAAGACACTATATGAATGCGTGGTTCACGGAACAGATAGAAGCATTGTGACATAGTAGTTTGATATTAAAAAAGGATCCTACCTTTTCCATGCCCTCTGAATAACTGCTGCTGCCTTATTCTTCTTTCGAAACAGCTCTTTTCGCAATCTCTCCTTTTCCACTATTTGTACTCGGATTTCCAAAGGGATAAGTTGGATATCAGAGCTCCTATCGTTCAAAGTGGTAAATGAACCATTATCAGTGCTAGGAGATTGAGAAGAACCAGTCCTGTCCCGAGGTGCATTTTCAATTGCATAATTATACATTCCACTGATACTTCTAGGTTTTGGACAGGCTCGAGGATGCAAAACAGAAGTGATGGTATCAGAGCACTGGGTGCTAGTTTGCATGGCATTGTCTGTACTGTTTACAATCACAGATTTGGCACTTCCAGGCCGACTTGAACCAGCAGGTGAGAATCGACTGCACTTTGCCCAAGGCACTTCATATTCTTGGGAAGATTCAGATGTTATTTTATGATGTCTACCACAAATTAATGGAGGTGGATTTTGTTGTTTCACCGATTTTTTTGTTGCACTGGCTGATCTGAAGCCAGCAGGTTTTGACTTACAGCCATTGGATCTGCGGGCACTTTCAGGGATCCTTCCATCATTCTCAGTGTTAGCATCTCCTTTTTCTGAAGGAGTGAGCTGTCTACAAGACTGTAGCTCATTAGGAATGCTTCTTTCATTGTATGGATGATGATCATTGACACGATTACCCTTTGAGCTTTTTCTGGTAAGTTCTAGAATGATGAAACAAATCACACATGAGTAAAAGTAACCAATAATTTATAATAAACAAATCTTGTTTTATGACAATTGAGTTTGCACCTACATACATGGAAAGCTCTATTCTTGGTAGTGTCAACAAAAATTCCTAACTATCTGCAAAATTCTAAAATTGAGCAATTTATTCTGGCAAATTTCAAGTTTATCTAGGTGACAGGTTTTAGTGTTGGAAAATAGAGCACTTTTCCACCGATCATTAATTAGCATCGAACACTTGAAGGTCAAGGAATATACTTCCTTTGCATAGTGTCCGAGCAATATATCTCACTTAACCCAAAGCAGTTAACTTCCCTAACACCTTTTATTTCACATCTTACATCTTAGAACAGCTGTCATTACACTGCTGCATAAATACTGCTAATGAGTTTCTTTGACTCCTACTCTCAGCTGCATTCAACTATCACTGGCTCCTAAGGCTTTTCATGAGCCCTAACCCCAACACTTACAATAGAATAGAATGTCCTTTATTGTCACGAGTACTCCAGTGCAGAACTACAGGAGTACAGAGAAAAATTTTTACAATGGCTGCCTTCAATGGCACCATCTTAGGTACAAAAGAGGGATAAAACGAAAAGTGGCAGCATTTCTTACGGTGTCTAAAAAATAAATTAGAAATAAGATAGTTATAACATAGTTCAAGGATTGACATCACAGTCTGGTAAAGAATTTCAAATAGCAACAGTTCAGCATGTGGTCTGACTGCCCCCGCCAGGCCCCAGTCCAACAACTGTCCCGCTCTGCTCCAAGCCCCCAGTCCGCTCTGCACTGGCACTCAGGTGCACCAAGGTAAGTTGCATTGCTCCAGGACCCATTCCCTTTGCGCTGTTCCGGGACTCGTTTCCCCTTGCGCTGTTCCAGGCCTGCTTCTCCTCGTGTTGCTCTGGGACTCGTTTTCCCTCACACTGCTCAGGGACTGCTTTCAGACACGCTGCTCCGGGACTCGTTTTCCCTCACACTGCTCAGGGACTGCTTCCAGACACGCTGCTCTGGGACTCGTTTTCCCTCACACTGCTCAGGGACTGCTTCCAGACACGCTGCTCTGGGACTCACTTCCCCTTGCGTTGCTCCAGGACTCATTACATCTCATGCTGCTTCAGGACTCATTTCACCTCGTGCTACTCTTGGATTCATCCCCCCTCGCGCTCCTCAGGAACTGCTTCTCCGCATGCTGCTCCAGGACTGCTAAAAAGAGAGAGAAAAAAAGCAAAGAAAAATAAAGAACAGGCGGAGCAGAGGAGCTCCGTGTGCAGTGTCCTACTCTGCTGCCAGACAAATACAACACATCAAGATGTTTCCATGTTTTTGCAAAAGTTGCAGATACTGGAGATCTGAAATAAAAGAAGTGAGTGCTGGAAACACTCAGCAGGTCTAGCAGCATCTGTGGAGAGAGAAACAGAGTTCATAATTGTTGTCAGTGACTCTTCAACTGAACAGGCAGCACTTAGCTGGTGCCGAACTTAGCTGCATTCATTGGTTTCCAGGACTTCTGAAAGCCCTCAACGCATTGAGCTGTCAAACAGCTCCTCGGACTTCTTCTTTAGCGACAGCTACATATAGCCAATGACTTTCCACCACCTTCTCAGTATTATGGACCAGACTAAACTCCCTCAAAATGTATTAAGAAGATAGCCTAAACCTCAACATTTTCTTATTTTTAAAGGCAAGTGTAAGGTGTTGTGTTCTGGATGCAATTCAATTGGTCAAGCCATCAGGCTTCAAGCAAAATACACTTTATTCTTACACTATAGTCACACAAATACAAACAAAATAAAGAAGAATTGGAATAACTTAACACTATCAGAACAACAATTTTTTAAATACTAAACAGCAACTGTTCCACTAGAGTAACATCGCATAAACGGCCTTGGCAAAGGTAAATTCAGTAAAATAGATTGTCTCACATACAATTCTCCAGTCCCGGAGGAAAGAACATCAAGAGAAAACTCAGAGAGAGAGAGAACTCAAGCGTTTTGCTATAGCAGAGAGAGATGTACAGCAGCTTCCAAAAGTTAAACTAAAATCCTGGTTCTGTGGGAGCTTGATTCCACCCCTTCATGCTGCTTCTATTGTTCCAACTTTTAAAAAAACCTAAGGCCTTACAAGCTGTTTACTTTATTGGCTGGAAACAGACCGCTCGATACCTCTGTCTCAACCTCTCTTCATAAGAAAAACCTGGTCAAAATACACCTCTTATAGCCACAGTATTGTCAATAACAGCACAGCTAATAGCAGCATCTGTTCTGAATGGTGCTTGTTCCTTTCCTCTTGACTCCCGTTTTGACTATCTACTAACTGACTAAAACAGTCTTTGATTGTTAAACTGTTTTGTGTGACTGTTCTCAGTTGAAAACCTCACAATAAGCCCCACCCTTGTTCTTAGGCAGGACTGAATAAAGCAACCATTGAGAGAATTATAGCAACCAGTGGAACATCCTGTTCCCTGAATTTTACAATATTGACTGACTGCTGGCTTATACAGTATAAATAGATATAAAAAATGTATTTCATCCAAACGCACAAGAAACAAATCTCAAAAACATCATGTGATGCAATCTTCTTAAATTCAGGAAATACATTAATACTTTATTATGGTGCACACTGGACTGGAGACTTTTCAATGGTGCTGAACACAGCAAGTGGAAAAGGTTGTAAAATTAGATTAAATTCGATATTATAAAAACATAACTAGATTTGTCATCCTTGAAATGCATCTCTGTGGTTGATGTTTAATTTTTACATGTTCAATATGGATTTCTGGTGCTGTTCATAAGAATTTGGAGAATGAGGAAGGATAGTATTGTATTGGCACATTACAGGTCTCAACATTGACTAGGGCTACTTTTACATATACTCAAGTCAGTAGACACCAAAGTCTGACACAGGTCATTCAAGAAGTTGCACCCCATCCTTGCAGATAGACTAACATTTACTGTATTTCCCTAACTGCCTTTGGGAAGATAGTGGTTCTTATAGAAGGCAATAGACCTGAGGGTTGATCTTGGAGATTGCATGGACTCTACCCAAACTGATGATGTCATGCAGTCTTGGATGGAGAAAGAGAAGTCTACCTCTACATCCCAATGGGAATCAGATGTGTTAATTCTGGCTCCTGATAGATACAGTTACTCTTGCTCCTCTGCAATATTTTATTCCCACTTCTGGTCTTGCTCTAAACCACTGCTCAACAGCTGTATTTTCATTGCCTCTCTGCTACTTTTAGTGATCTAAGAAACACTTCATTGTCTTTTAATTTTCTAATGAGGAATGCACAAGTCAGCTTTGAAGTTATTTCCTCCTTTGTTTTCTTAATCTGTAACAACATTTTTTTGAGATCTAACTAAAAGGAAAAATGGAGGAGGAGTGTTCCTCTCTTGAGCAGATTATACTTCACCTCCTACTCAGAGCACAGTGCTTGATCTGCATGCATAGGCCTTGAGCTGAGTCATGTATCTACTGTTTTGATCCCACCTAGTTTTAGGCAGAGGTCCTGCACAATCTATTGAGTCCTTGCCAAACAGTTCTTCTATAACTTGTAGCAGAATTAAAGTCAGAAGTTTAATTAAAAACCGAAAGAACTGCGGATGCTGTAAATCAGAAACAAAAAGAGAAGTTGCTGGAAAAGCTCAGTAGGTCTGGCAGCATCTGTGAAGACAAATCAGAGTTAACGTTTCGGGTCCAGTGACCCTTCCTCAGAACTGATGGTAGCTAGGAAAATGTCGGTTTATATGCAGAAGATAGGGCAGGGTTAGGGCGTAAGGAGTAAACGATAGGTGGGGATACTGCCCAAAGAGGGAGAAGAACAGTTGGTTTGTCTGTCCAACTGTTCTTTTCTCTCTTTGGGCTCTATCCCCAACTATCATTTACTCCTTGCCCCCTCCCCCCACCCTATCTTCTGCATATAAACTGACGTCTTCCTAGCTACCATCAGTTCTGAGGAAGGGTCACTGGACCCGAAATGTTAACTCTGATTTGTCTTCACAGATGCTGCCAGACCTACTGAGCTTTGCCAGCAACTTCTCTTTTTGTATCACTAGTTTAATTGATATTTGGGTTTCCTTACCATTTAACATATATGGCATGTTTGGTATAATTTGTTCACATCTTTATGCAATTCTGGCCATTAAAAATATTTTAGTATTTTAGCCTCTGTTTTGCTAAAATTACATGCCAATGCCATTTCATGATCAACACGTAAAATTTTATGATGATATTCAGATAGAACTACCACCTTAGGGGCAATTGCCCATTCTTCATTGGCTCGAATTTGAGGTGATCTCCATTCCCTCATGAACACTTTGTCTCTCAAATAATAACACTCAGGTGTAGGCTCAACTCAACTTCTCAGTGGGCTGTTTGGTATAACACTCTTAATTCGGGATTCACCTGCTACATTGTTTTAAAGAAGATGGGCTAAATTGGATCCCATCTTCCATTTCTTCCTTCCTTTTATTCTATTTTTTGAAATTTGTGTCAGATAATTGCATTTCAATGTCAGTTCCCTATTTCATAGCATCCTTGTCTTCCTGTCCAATTCTATGGACTTGAGATTGCGTTACAACATAATTGTAAAAGATTCCAGGATGTTGCTCATGAGTATCTCAGTTTCTTTCATTTCTACTGATTGCTCCATCACCCTCAGTGAGGCAAATATTTTTGAACTAGTCAGGTAATTTCACAAGATAAAATCAATTCCTTCTGTAGGAGTTTATTTCACAACTGCAATTACAATTTCTCATTTATTAAGTCACTCTCCAAACCAATTCTCTACATTGGCACTGGTTTGTAACATCCATGTACACCTTCAATTAATGTTTTTTTTCTTTCTTTAACTCCTTTGAAAGACAAATAGTATAATTAGCCAATGTCAAGTGACTGAGTTGCTCCAGTGGCTCTCAATATTTTTTATTGGTTTATCTACTTTTCAAGTAGCATATTCAGAAACTCCAGACATCTG